AATAGACCCATTTCTGTAATATACTCACATATCTATATTATTGCTAATATATATTGTAATATATCTATATCACTAAAGCACTTCTGGATGGATGCAAACTGCATTTCGTTGCCCTGTACCTGTGCATGTGCAATGACAATAAAGTTGAATTCTATTCTATTCTATTCTATAAATCACGACACGGTGCTCTCAGCTACATAAGCTGCCTTCACAAGTTACAAATATCGGTATCAGAATTGGGATTGGCAGTACCGGCCCTGTATTTACCCATATGGAACAGATGTATATAAATCTTATAAAGTTTGTATCTGTCTTATGTGAAACTTGTATGAAAAGCATACAAGAGTTAAAACAGATATAAGATACCTTGAAAAATTATATAAATGCAACTTGTATGTTTTGGATACTTACTAAAACAATATATGAAAGTAATGAGAAAGTGGCCACTTTCATGACTAAATCATATAAGCCTGATATGATTCACTATATGAATGAGTTTTTACTATTTCTTTTCCATATGGGTACTTGGTATCAGATCAATATTAAAATCTGCAGTATTGCACAGGAGTTTGCAGTACTTAAGCATCTAGCTAGCCCTACAGAAGAGGAGAGAACATAAAGGGAGTGAAGTTTTTTAAGTGTCGGGTAATTTGAAATGCAGCGTTTCTATCAGCTCAACAAACATCAGCAAACACAAACTGTGTGTGTGCAGTTTGTCTCACACTGTGCTGCAGCTGAAGGTCCAGTTGCTGTATTTGACAGGGAGAGAAAAGACAGAGAGCTACGTTCACTCAGAGATGGAGACAGATAAGAAAGAAGGACAGGAGAGGACGAAGAGAGCTTAGAGTTAAAGGAAGGATGCTCAGTGGAATTTGATAAACTGGAAATTTAAAGATGCCATGTTCCTGCAAAACAAACAAAGCTATGCTAACTTTGTGTTATTCAAATGTTCTATGAAAATCCTGTTTAGTATTTCAATGCAGGATAAACATGTGGTGGATTCAGAGTACAGTCACACACAGTGCCCGTGGTGCTCATGGTCCCAGGCAGGTAACAACAGGTGTAGCAGAGATGAGTTTACATGTAAGTTGATGATGCTGAGGTTCATCCCCACTTGCTGAATCCACTGTGACCCCTGACTGTGCTCATGTTACTGTGTAGGTGTGGAGGTGAAGTCACCCTCCACCATCAAGGCAACACAATCGGTTTTACATTCTCTGTCACTGCAGGTGTTCTACACAACAGACTCATGCTGAGTACATTCATTACAATTAGAATGTGCTTTTGTGTTGAAATACTAACAAAGCACAAGGTTCAGTTACTTGTATACAAACATGGTTAGTAGCAGAGTACTTTTTCACTTTTACTTGAGTAAAGGAGTTTCTTCATTACTTCACGTTTTACTGGAGTACTTTTAAACACAGGTATCTGTACTTCTACTTAAGTAAAGAAAGTCTCCTGTAGGTGTGAGGAGCTCCATCAGGGTAGATGAAGGAACAGCACCGTCCACATACTTCTGCACAACTTGAAACTTCTTCTTCTCTGGTTTAATTGTTGTTTTCACGCTGTGACGTCACGTTAGAGCAGCCGCAGCGTTGAAAAAGCTCAGTCCTTCATCCTGAGCTCTCATCATCGTCATGATGTTCAGCCCCTCCTCTCCAGGTTTGTGGCTGAAGGTGACGTGAGTCACTCGGATCACCTTCCAGGTAGCCTCGTCACCTGCTTCTCATTCTGCTGCTTCGTCACGGTGACGTCAGCACGCAGGACGTGAGGGGGCTTTAAAGGAGGAGGGGGGGCCGGGATTCCTGAGGATTACCCGTCATGCCCCGCGGGTAAAGATGGCGACAGCTGAGCAGGGCAGCGGATCAACTTTCTTGGAGCGGCTCTGAGCGGATTTCCTTCCGCGGACGGAGCGTCTTAGCCGGCCTCAACCCGACCCACTGCCCGGAGCTCCAGCGCGGACCTCGGCGCTGCTGTCCGGCCTCGGATCAGTCCGGAGCCCCCTCCCTTGGCTCTCCTGCTCCTCCGGAGGAGCGGAGCGGAGCTCGGACAAAGTTTTCTCTCCTCCCCGGGACCGAGCGGCGCGGACGGGGCCTCAGGTAAGTTCGCGCCGGGCGGGTTGGGGGTGTCCCTGGTGCGGGTCTTCATGACGAGCCGCGCGGCTCGCGGAGCGCGGAACTGGGCCATGGTGGGCCAGTTCGCGTCGGTTTGACGGCCTGCCCGCGGGGGGGGGGGTCGTGTTTGTGCCTGTCAGACAGAGCCGAGGGCGTACAGCCGCGGCCCCGGCAGCCAATCACAGGACGAGCAGGACGACCCTAGAACGGGGGGCCCAGGCCCTCAGCGAGGCCCCCGGCAGTGTCAATTGCGACTTTATTGATGCTCAGCAAGAAATGTCAAAATAAAAGCCTGTCAATGTTCGACCAAAAGTTTCATTAGAGCGTTATGACCACATGACAACGATGAAAAGAATGAATCCTGATTTTAAAAGTTCAGCAGAGACTTCTGAGCCGGCGATGGCGGTAAACCCAAAACGTCTCCGCTGTTCAAACACGTCACTGATTTCACTGATCTGAGCTCAGTTACTAGACAAAGCAAACCGGCTTCAGTGAGTTAGCATGTAACAGCCAGAGGTGGGAGTTACCGCACGACACGACGTTATCGCGATACTTCGCTCACCACTCGACGTTATTGTGTCGAATTGAATCAGGTTATCAAAATTCATCTTTGTTTATTTGTTTGATCCACAACGATCGCGTTTGTCCCGCATCAGGTTTTTTCTCTAAAAGACTGACGGTGGCGTCCGATGTGACTGAACGGGCTCCAGTTATTTCATCGGTGCTGAGTTCTGAAGAAATGAATGGTCTCCAGTTTTTATGGAAGTTTAATTTGAATGCAGAGACAGAATATCAACAAAAACACGTCACGGTTTTTCGTTTGAGCCAATTTAAAATAAGTTTAGTGTTTTTTCACAGTGGTCATGCTATTTAATAAATTATTGATATGTGGTGGTCCTGTGAGAATGGCGAGGGCCAGCAGCTCTGACCATGCCCCAGCTGAGATACATACATGTCCTTCATTCACACTTCCCAGCAGTCCCCACAAACATACAGTAAATACTAATAAACAAAGAGTAAAAACACGAGCGACTCCAACATTAACTCGTGAACAGTTGGCTAACAGACGCGTGTCCGTCACACATGGTGATGGAAACTAGGGCTGGGTATCGTCACTGATTTCTAGAATCGATTCAATTCCGATTCACAAGGTCCCGAATCGATTCGATCCACGATTCGATTTAATTCGATTCGATTTGAATCTTGGAAATTTTGACAGCCAGAAATATTATAATTCAGATCAGTACATTTACATATTTTTGTATCTATAAAAAGGAAGCTGACACTCGCAAGACTTTATCAAAGATGTGAGCATCACAGCAGAGGCCTTTGTGTCAAAGTAGCTGAAGATAAAACACAGAAAAACATGAAGGTGATTTTCCTGGCCTGGATTTTATAAAAATATTCTGCAGTACATCGAAAACAAAAGAAAACCATTAATTAATGAACATTACCTCTGACGTTACAGCGGTTTTATTAGAGACATGGCTAAGCATTTTGCATTTTGAATAATTTTAAAAAGTTTAAATTTGTTCAGTATTGAACAGCAGAAATTAGGTTTTCTTTTCGGAAGAATGTAAAAGGGAAAAAAACAGCGGCCGACAGCCTGTAAACAACAGTAGACTTGTGTAACAAGCAAGCAAGCGAATAATGAAGAAAGCGAAACTGTTCGAGAGAGAGGGAGCTGCGCATCGCAATGGAAGCAAAACAGTAAAAGAATTCATGACGATGTTTATGTGAAGCGTAGTTTGGATCTTCTTTTGCTGCTGGTTCGGTCAATATTGTTTGGAGACAGATCAAACTAACAGCTTTAGAATCAGCGCATAAAGGGCGTGAACACAAAGCGCCGACCTGCCGACAGATCAGAATCAGCGAGCTGTCGGCTTTCAGCCCCGACTGTGAGAAAGGCGACATCTAACTGATTCTGATCCGCGGGTCGCGCTGTGTGTTTAAGTCTATGTGCAGAATCCCTGTACCTGCTCTCATTTACTGTTTGGTGGTTCTTGCAATTTTGTGAGATGTCACCTGAGATTCTGGCATTTCGGACAAAATAAATTTATATTAAAAAATCGATTCAGGATTTTAATGAATCGATTTCACGTTATCCAAGCAAGAATCGATTTTAATCGATGAATCGATTATAAAAACCCAGCCCTAATGGAAACGTATGCCCTTTCTCAATTCTCAAGTATGCGAGTCCGCGCTCGCGTTCTCGGCGAGTCAGTTGTACAATTGGAACACCAGCGTACTCGATGATGTCACAGGTCCAGAGTTTTTACTGCCGTCGCCTCTTAATTTAACTGTGATTTATATGTTATGAAGCTTAACTTTGATCTCAGCCAAACTGATTTACTCAGGAACAAATAAAACACTGAAATGATGATGATGATCTAAGAGACTTATACATCATGTTTAACCTCAGTAGTGAAAGACTGCGGGTGCTTTGAAAATGATGTGCTGGGAGTCCGCTGTTCTCGCGGGGTCTAGTGACTCTTAACCTCCCAGTCAGCTATCGAGCTGGTCACAGACGTCTCTGAAAACATCAGAGCACTTTTGCAAATATGTGATGTCTTGATAAATCGAGCAGATATTTGAAGTTTACACAGCTACATCCTCACCTGAAAATATTTTGAAAGTTTTTTTGTGACCCAGAAAGAGTAATGCTTTAAAGGTTTTAGCCGCGCTCCTCCGCCATTGCCGCGTTTGAGTTTTGGACGAAATGCATTCTGGGATATTTAGCTGTACCAAGTCCACACGAGCCACCACCGATGCATGCTCGATAAAACGGGCGGAGCGAGAACACGTCCGGGAATTTTTCTCAGCTTGATGCTTTGAATTTGAACAGTACTTGGTCTCCGACTGACGACGGATCACGAGTCCACGAGAACGCAAGTACGCACCAATACGCATATTGAGACAGGCCCATAATCTAACCAACGTTACATTTATTGCATTAATATGGGAGATGTTTAAATTTTAAATACTGAGGGGACAGTAACCATGGAAACTCTCAGCAGAGGCAAAAACAACACATGCAGTGGAAGAAGAGAAGTTCTGTGTAATAATGAGAAATGACAGGAAACGTATCGATTACATGAAGAGAGGGAGGTGCACAACATCGGAGGGTCCGGAGCTGAACGCCAGCCTGTGTCACACATCAGACGCCTGATGATGCTGAAACTGCAGCACCTTTAGACAAACATCCAGTGTTCAGCTTCGCTGTCTTTCCATTTCAGGTCGCCACAAAGACACAGACAGTGCGAATAAGTATATAGAAGAGAGATTCTACTGGCTCCACTACATTTGTCTGACTGACTGTGTCGGGGTAAAATAAATTCATAACCTGTGATCAGCTGCATGTTTCTGATAGAGTCATGTCGTGTCACTGTTTTAAGGTGGAGCTTTAAATGGGCTCGTTTTTCATCCCCAAACAGAAAGTAAACACAAACACTTCCAGCTGTGTTTCTTGGTTACAATCAGGCATTAAAGCTGATTTTTATACACATTTACATATATATGATTGGTGCTCCTTATTTGTATAGTTACTCTTTTATCAGGAGTACCATCACCGGAAACTACTCTGATATACTTTTTATTGTTGCTCAGCACTCGTCAGACAGCCTTCAGCCGGCTTGTCCGTTTCTAACCCGAGGGAATCTGGTTTCTTCTGTGAAGCCATCAGTAGCATCATTCCTAATAGATGTATCAGTTTCTCATGTATTCCATTATCCGAGCGTATGACCGGCATATAAAGTAACGACTGTAACACTGCATCAATTCCCAGCATCCTGTTTTTGAACACGTTTCCAGCAAAGAAGTAATGGACGCCGAAATATATGTGTCAACTTCCTGATCTGCCCCCGACCACAACAATGCAAACACGTGACATCAAATATGATGTGACGCCGTACATCGGCCTGCCTCTTGATATATAAAGCATATAAACACGTGCAGCAACAACTTGGCACAAACACATCACGACCGTGTCCTGACCTTTATTTTCACTCTGGTGCTCAGTAACTCTGCTCTTTGTACTTTTGACTTGAAGGACATCTCCTTCAAGTAATACACAGTAATACACAGTACAGCTGTCTGTGACTTAGGGCTGCCACGATTACGTCAACTATCAAAATCGTCGACGAATGGTTTAATAGTTGACGCGTCGTTTGAAGCTTTGTAAGATCC